GGCTTGAGAGGCACAGAGATAATGGATGTGAAAGCACTGTGAAAATGGAAAGGGATCACTACTAGTATTCATCAAACACGACTCCCTCTGAAACTCTGCCACGGTTATAACTCAGCAGAAAGGGCAAGACAGAATGAGACTGGTGAGCTGGAGACGAGGGCACTCTAATGGCACAGGCTGAGTAATCATCACAGGAATCACTCTCTGTATCCAGAAAAGTTCTGGGGAACTCTTTTATGTTTTTTACAGTCCCAGTGTTTCTCAGTGTACCCCACACAGCTGGATACTCCAAAGGTCAGTTCACCTTACATACTCAGTGTATGAATGCGAGTGGCATTTAGTAAATGTTTGAGTTTTGTTTGTTTGTTTGTTTTAGTAGTAAATGTTTGTTGAGGTGACCTCCATAACACCTTCACTGACCCTTTCAGGGAAAATTGCTTCCTTAACCTTGTTCTCTTGTTATTTAGTTCATTCCCCCTAGTAAAACACTTACACGCGTAGTTAGTTACATTTTTGAGCACTATCTTTCCTAGCCTGCTCTATGCTTTTGGTAGGAAGACTGTGTCCCATTTACCTGAGCATCATTTGTGCTCATACAGTGCCTGGCACATAGTAGATGCTCAATGATGGTTTTTCTTTTCAGTGAGTTACAGGGGGTAGACTTGAGGGAAAATGTGGATGCTAATTTAAACCAACTCTTCCATAAATCAGTCCTATAATCCATGTCAAGCCTTACAGTTACTGCACCAGCAAAAACTAATCTTTCTGTTCCCAGGAAGCCAGGACTGTCACCATAAAGTGATTCTGATCTGCTGATTTTTCTGGGAATGATGCCACCGTCTCCTCACAGACTTGTGGCTGTGGGAGCTAATCTATCTATGGGTGTTACAACAAACTAAAAAGGTGTCATAAATGACAGACACCTCCTCTACGTCAAGAGTGCAAAGAGTTTCCAAGAGAAAAGACATCTCACCTCCTAGGGGGCCAGTCTATAAAAAGGAAGTAAATTGCTTACATTACAAGATACCCATTACTCTCTTGCCCCAGGGCCTAGAAAATAGAACACAAAACAATTATAAACTGACAACAATTTATATTGCCTCCATTTCATCATCCCACATCTTCCTCTTAGCAATTCTCTGGTTCTTGGATTGTTATTATCCCAAGACTGAAGGCAGGACAACAGCTGAGGTCAAGTAAGTGGTCTTGGGAGAAATAACCTAATACTCTACAAATTCAAAGGACTACACATTTATTTCTATGAGATAAAAATCACTCCAAACAATCTGAAGCCTTTTAAATTCAACAAGGTGATTCAGGACCCTTGAGGAAATAATGAGATCTACACATTGAGACACAGTGCTAGGTGGAGATAAGCTCTGAAATGTGATCCCTCGTTGCCAGTCAAGCTGTGTCATACAACATGTAAGATTACACTAGCAGAAATGCCATAATGCCTGGGCACTTTGTGCCTGAGAATGAACTCTTGTCTTAAGGATGTGGGGCTAAAGGGAGGAGAGGACTCAGTATGGGACCCCGAGTTAAAAAAGAGAATTTGATTGCTTATTGTTTTTTCTAGGATCTATGCTTAGGGAGAGAAAGGGGACCACAGGATGCCTTCTTTTCTAGTCCAGTTCCCCATTGCAACAGAAGAGACAGGAACCTGGGACAGAGCCTCTGCAAGCTGGCAGATGAGAGCTTTTGCGAACTGTCCCATGCAGGAAGCAAGGAGCCTGCAGCAGCTTTCACTACTATCTGGGTAGCTACCCAGGGACAACGAATGACATCAGAGAAAAGCCTATAACCCTAATGAAAGAGAGCATCACTCCCCTCAAGCAACCAAGGTCATCTGGAACCAGCTGTTTACAAATAGTGAGTTGTGTTTGCCAGCTCTGATTTACAAAACCTCGGAGCAGTTCCAATAACCACGTATCAGTTCAGCTCAATCAATATTTACTGTCCTCTACTTGATGTCAGGCTCCCTGCTGCAAACTGAAGACACAGACACATGGCCTCTACTCTAAGAAAGCTCACCATCTAGAAGGGGAAATGGTCATCAAACGGACAATTAAAACAGAGCAGTAAGTCATAGTACAGAGGAAGCTCAAGGAACTCTAGCAGCTCATGGTAGGACAAGTAATCCAGGGCTGGGAATCCAGGAAGGTGTCTCAGAAGGAGATCTTCATTTTTTCCCTCCTCACCCTACTTCCTCACTAGAATTTTTTTTTTTAAGATTTTATGTATTTATTTATGGGAGAGAGAGAGAGAGAGAGAGAGAGAGAGGCAGAGACACAGAGGGAGGAGCAGGCTCCATGCAGGGAGCCTGATGTGGAACTCGATCCCGGGTCTCCAGGATCAGGCCCTGGGCTGAAGGCAGCTCTTTTTTTTTTTTTAATTTTTATTTATTTATGATAGTCACACAGAGAGAGAGAGAGGCAGAGACACAGGCAGAGGGAGAAGCGGGCTCCATGCACCGGGAGCCCGACGTGGGATTCGATCCCAGGTCTCCAGGATCGCGCCCTGGGCCAAAGGCAGGCGCCAAGCCGCTGCGCCACCCAGGGATCCCTGAAGGCAGCTCTAAACTGCTGGGCCACCTGGGCTGCCCTCCTCACTAGAATTTAAAGATTGAGGATATATTAGCCAAGTAAAAAGAGGGAGAAGATACTCCAAGTAAACAGAACAGCCTTGAAACATATGTATTTCATAGAGAGACTTGTGAGAGGCTCTAAAACAGTATGATGATTTGGATAAAAAAGCAAGAGGCTCAATGCAGTTAAAACATGGTATCCCTGAGATGAGAGAAGAAACTAGGGAGAAAGATAGGGACAGATGTTATTATTATGGCATTAAACTTCCTTTTATACCAACCTAGGGAGCAAGTGAGAGCATGGCATACACAGAAAATTATCTTTTAAGACATAGGGGCCAAGAAATTAAGAAAAAAATAACAAAAAACACACACCTAAACAAAGTGAATTTTATCTCCTACTAATTTACATAGAACTTTTAGAAGAGGGATATTCCAAAATAAAACAACTCCAACAACTACTCTAAGGTGTCACAACTCAGAAAAGGTGTAGATTACTCCTTCTTTTGAATTTTAATAGCACTTTGTATCTTCCTTTTAGTACCTGTTACTTTCTGCTGAGGAGCACAATTATCTGTGTTTTACCTCTAATGGTTTGCCAGTTCTCTGAGCACTGACTGGTTCTTGTTCATTCATCTTCTAAAATTGTATTACAATCCAGTCTGAATAGACAAGGCAACCTCAACAAAGACTACCACATAATAGATGTGCAATAAATGTTTCAGAGCATCACAGAGTTACATGATACCAGAGCTTTTTTTTTTTTTTTTTTTTAGATTTTATTTATTTATTCATGAGAGACACAGAGGGAGAGAGGCAGAGACACAGGCAGAGGGAGAAGCAGGCTCCATGCAGGGAACCCGATGTAAGACTGGATCCTGGAACTCTAGGATCATGCTCCAATCCAAAGGCCAGACGCTCAACCACTGAGCAACTCAGGCATCCCGAGCCAAAAGACTCTTAAAGATATTCTAATCCAGTTTCTCAGCCTTTATAAAAGACTCTGATAAAAGCAATGGACTCTCTTTTCAGAAAAAATCACACATAGAAAACATTTTACATATAATTTCAGAGCCTACAATGCTCAAAGGAGCAAGGTTAATTATCCAAAGTCATGAAGGATTATGTTGAGTGAAATAAGTCAATTGGAGAAGGACAAACATTATATGGTCTCATTCATTTGGGGAATATAAAAAATAGTGAAAGGGAATAAAGGGGAAAGCAGAAAAAATGAGTGGGAAATATCAGAAAGGGAGACAGAACATGAGAGACTCCTAACTCTGGGAAATGAACTAGGGGTGGTAGAAAGGGAGGTGGGTGGGGGGTGCAGGTGACTGGGTGACAGGCACTGAGGGGGGACACTTGATGGGATGAGCACTGGGTGTTATTCTATATGTTGGCAAATTGAACACCAATAACATAAATTTATGAAAAACAACAACAACAAAGTCATGAAGGTGTAATTAGTGGCATAACTAAGCCTACAAGTTTCCTGGTTCCCAATTTTCAGTCCTCTTCCTACTACAAACTACAAATGAATAATTTTAGTTGGGCTATTTCCCACTGGGAGACTGCCTAATACAAGTGGTCCTCTCATGAAATTCCTTGCTAGAAGGACGATGCTCAGGAAAACATGGCAAGTTTAATGGCTCTGAGGCTCAAATATAGTGTACTGGACCTCTGCCAAGGAGAGAAAGGGGCAACAGGAAAAGTTCATGGTTATGTGGGAGCATTACAACAAGCCAAAGAACCAAGAGGGATGTTGAAGTCTCCCTAAATAGAAGAGCAAAATCCTTCTTAACTACTATTTACAGGAAGTGAGAGAATCATGACTCAAAACCAGACTTTCTGATTTTCAGGCCGGTGTTAGGTCCACCTCACCACAAAATCCTCTGCACATGCACAGAAATCTCACTACCACAGAAGCAATCCTGTAGCTATGGGAATCCTAAGAAATGGGCTAAATAATCTTATAATGCTTAGAACTAATTCCCAATTATCTGTGATAATGGATCCAAGGAACATAAATATCTTTTAAATCTGCAAATACTATAAATCTATTTGGCTGAAAATACTAATCCGCCACTACTTGCCACAAACCATCAATTCAGCTTAAGTGAATGTATCATTTATTCTGGGGTCCACACTGAAATAAATACTAAGAAGATTTTTTTTTTTAAGTGCCACAAATAATAAAACCAAATCATTTGCTTTTCACTAAGTGTAGGGACAAGATTGAGAGCTGGCAAAAACAGCTCACTGTGGATAATATCCAAACTAAATAACTGGAGAGGACTAAAAGGTGTCCCCCCACCCTTCTACCTTCAATATTATCCACCCTATACATATGTGATCTTTAGTCTGTGCAAAAGCCACACACTATCCTCTTCTAAAGGACCCCTACTCTCTTTACCTCCTGTGCTTTAACTAGGTGCTTGTATCTTCCAATGCCATGGGTAGGCTTTGACTTGTAGTGCCGACTGGTATTCAGCAGAATGCCACCTAAAAAACAGAAAATAAGACAAACCTGTTTCAAAGCTCCTTCAGGGCAGACAGATCACACATGAGGAGACCAATTCTCTACCACAAGACTGGGAATATCTGGGGATAGCAGGTCTCTTGCTGGCTTAAAGAACCAGAGCTATTTCTTGATCTTGAGCTGACCCTTATTTACCCCCTTTATCTCTCCCTTTGGCACCTCAATCATACCCACTCCCCGCTACCTATCTTTCTTTGAGAAATTCTCTCCTGCTATGGCCACTGGTGATAGGAGAAAATACATTCTCACAGTGTTCCTGTTTTCTCTTGCTCCTCAACAGGCAGTAATCCTTTTGAAGTTTTCTAATGTGGATCATACAGAGAAAGAAATAGGTGGCAAATACAAGCAGGTAAGAGGACAATCACAGATTTCCACAAAGTTTTACATACCATCTATTAGATTTATTTGTGCTAATATGGAACAACCTCCAATACACATTGCTAAGTAAATAACAATGAAAACAAAAGCCTAAGGTACAGAACGGTGTGTGTGTATACTACTATCAAGTATAAACTAGGCTCTCCATTCACATATTTATTGTGGTAGGTCTGGTGATGCATCACTTGGGTCCACCTTCAAGGAAGGACCTTATCTTTCATTATTTTTATCCTTCTTTAAAAATAAAGAAACTGTAGCTCAACACATGAGATGATGCTCAATATCACTCATCATCAGGGAACTAAATGCAAATAAAAACTACAATGAGATATCACCTCATTCCTGTCAGAATGGCTAAAAATCAAAAACAAAAGAAACAACAAATATTGGCAGGGATGTGGAGAAAAAGGAACCCTCGTGCATTGTTGATGGGAATGCAAACTAGTGCGGCCACTGTGGAAAACAATATGGAGGTTCCTCAAAAAGTGGTATTATCCAGTAATCACACTGCTAGGTATGTACCCCAAAAACATAAAAACACCAATTCAAAGAGATATATGAACCTCTATGTTTATAGCAGCATTATTTACAATAGCCAAATTATGGAAAGAGCCCAAGTGTCCACCAAATGATGAATGGATAAAGGATATGTGGTATATATACATATACAACAGGATATTACTCAGCCATAAAAAAAGAATGGAATTTTGCCATTTGCAACAACATGGATAGACCTAGAGAGTATAATATTAAGTGAAATACGTCAGTCAGATAAAAACAAATACCATATGATTTCACTGATATGGGGAATTTAAGAAACAAAACAAATGAACAAAGATAAAAAAGAGAGAGAGAGACAAGCCAAGAAACAGACTCTTAACTCTACAGAACAAACTGATGCTTACCTGAGGGGAGATGGGTGGGGGAGATGAGTCAAACAGGTAATGGGGACTATAAAGCATACTTACCTGATGATCATCACCCAGGGGTGATGCATGAAATTGTTAAATCACAATATTGTACACCTGAAACTAGTATAACACTGTACATTAGCTATAATGGAATTAAAATTTAAAACAATTAAAAAAAAGAGATACTGTAGTTCAGAAAATATGGTGAAATGGCCAAGAACATCCAGCAAATAAAAGGCAGAACTGCAATTTAAACCCAGGTCTAGGGACGCCTGGGTGGCTCAGCGGTTTTAGCGCCTGCTGTCGGCCCAGGTAGTGATCCTGGAGTCCCAGGATCGAGTCCCACGTTGGGCTCCCTGCATGGAGCCTCCTTCTCCCTCTACCTATGTCTCTGCCTCTCTCTCTCTCTCTCTCTCTCTCTCTCTCTCTCTCGTGTCTCTCATGAATAAATAAATAATAAAAATAAAAAAATAAACCCAGTTCTATCTGGATGAAAGGCCTATGCCCAGGTGGGTTCTCATGACGTCTGAATTTCTGGAATATAAAATCTAGATATGATTTTTCCTAGCTCAGATGTCAGTTCCTTATCTCTTCCCTTTCACTGAAACCAGTACTACATGGCTCTTCTATGTCTGTCTCTCTTGCTCACTCTCTACCTTCTGGATTAGTGTTAGTCTTAGGTCTTGCTCCCTTTCCTCTCAGTTCCTATGGTCCTATCCTCATCTCTACGGGGAGGTAAAACAGAAAAGATGTGAAGAAGTGAAATGTTTCTTGGGCTTCTCTTTTCTAAAATGGGCTTCCAGGATCCCTGGGTGGCGCAGTGGTTTAGCGCTTGCCTTTGGCCCAGGGCGCAATCCTGGAGACCCGGGATCGAATCCCATGTCGGGCTCCCGGTCCATGGAGCCTGCTTCTCCCTCTGTCTGTGTCTCTGCCTCTCTCTCTCTCTCTCTCTCTCTCTCTCGCTGTGGGTGTGACTATCATAAATAAATAAAAATTAAAAAAAATAAAATAAAATGGGCTTCCAAGCAGGTCTGCTCTTTGCCAGGCCAATCCTGCCTTTATAATCCACATTGTTTCATCAAGACAAACCTTGGATATCATGAGTCCCTTTTATGATATGCGTTAGTCCACATATACTGCTATATGCCAACAACTGTATACACACTGGGACAAAGATGACTAGAATATGCCACTTTCCCTGGAGATACTCAGTGTGTACTAGGGAAGGATGATAGGAAAGCAGATAATTACCTTACAGTACACAAATTACTTTAATAGATGAGAGCAAGGCACTATGTGCCTAGAGGAAGGAACAATGAATCAGCCTCGGTAACAGATGCATTCTTGAAAGAGGGGTAAGGAAAAGGAAAAGAAAGCCTGTCAGTGTGAGAAGGGCACAGAGTATACCAGAGCCTAGAGCAGTGAGTGGGAACATACCACACTAGGCTTTGTGAAGAGTTTGGATTTCAAGCTGAACAGGGAAAAGTATATGCCTGATAAGTTTTTAAAAGATCACTTTGGTTGGTACATGGAAAAAGGGAGAGAGAGCATGGATGGGTTAAGAGATTCAAGTGGCAGCCTTGGCTAAATTGTTGTTGGTGATCTCACTGTATCCACATCCCCTCTCTATTCCATCCTCTCGAGCTGACAAACTAATCCTTCTTTTTTTTTTTTTTTTAAGATTTTATTTATTCATGAGAGACAGAGAGAGAGAGAGAGAGAGGCAGAGACACAGGCAGAGGGAAAAGCAGGATCCATGCAGGGAGCCTGATGTGGGACTCGATCCCGGGACCCCAGGATCACGAAGGCAGGCGCTAAACCACTGAGCCACCCAGGAATCCCCCAAACTAATCTTTCTAAAACACAAACCTAATAACATTCTTCTCTTTCATTAATTCAACCATTTATTCATCCTACGCACATAATTTTTTAAAAGTACTTACTATGTGCCAGGCATTGTACCAGGCACTACAGAAACACCAATGAATGAGGCAGAGAAGGTCTTTGCTATATTTCAAAATGTTCACACTCCTTAGGTAAGTATTTAAGAAACTTGATTTTATAATATAGTTCCAATGACTTCATCTCCTCATTCTCCTACTCCTCCAGGCCTTTAAAACTTTGTTCCTCAGCCACAGAGCTACACTTGCCATTCTGTATAAATCATGCAATTGTCATGGTTCTGTGCCATACTGGGCAGTACCTTCTGCTCAGACTACACTTCTCTGACTGGTGAAATCCTAGCTAGCCTCCAGGGTCAGCTCAAATATCACCATCTTCATGAAACTCTTCTGCTGCCCTGAACATTCAAAGATCATCAAGTTTACTTCATGATTATAGCTCTTCCATGCCTCCGCTATATAGTAAAACATTTTGTATAAAGAATGAAAATTGGGCGCCTGGCTGGCTCATGTGGTTAAGTGTCTGCTTTTGGTTTAGGTCACGATCCCGGGGTCTTGGAATCCAGCCCCCATTGGGGCTCTCTGCTCAATGGGAAGTCTGCTTCTCCCTCTCCCTCTGCCCCTACCCTCTGCTCATGCTCTCGTTCACTCTCTGTCTCTCTCAAATGAATAAATTTTTAAAAATATTTAAAATAAAATAAAAACAAAAATATTTAAAGAAAACTCAGATGCCAACCATCGTTTTTAAGTACACAGAAACTCAATCACCCCCCTTAGTGGTTTCAAACAGCAGAACCAAAAGGTGATCTTTGGGGATAACACGTCTTAGGTGAAAGCACCACATTCCTGCCTCAGCATCTCATCTGCCAGAATTCTTTGGCAAGGAAGCATTTTCAAATTCAGCTTAGGGCAATTCATATAATTAGAGCAGCTGGTTAATTAAGAAGTTGGTTCAAACTACTGTTAAATTAACCATTTTCCCCCTTAAATGAAAGGTTTTGGTCAAACTACCAGCGTTTAAACTGCTTAATTAGCCAGTTGTTTATGTTATAAAATGTACCAGTTTGAAAGCCTCCAATTTCTAATAAGTTCAACTGAATTCTTCCCTTGCTCATTGTCATCTAACTGGGTCTCCTGCTGTTGCATTAACATTGCAGCCTCCTAAGAGGAAAGACAATTCTTTTCACTGAAGACACAGAACCCCAGGGTTTCAACAGGAGGCTCTGAAGATCTTTCAATAAGCACAGTTATAGGATGTAATCACATATTGACTTTTCCCACATCACATCCCTTTACTTTATATATGCCAAAGCCAATTGTCCTTCAGTGTGTCTGTTTACTAAACTGGGAATGAAATCCATCAGTCCAGGATAGGGGTAAACATCATTTTAATTATTTCTCCTTCGATATTAGAACAGCATTTTTATAGTCAGGTTATGCTGGAGAGAAAGAGGAAAACACTGGGGAAGCCCCAGTCAAGATTAATTACAGGATATTCTCTCCATTCAATAGACCGGACGTCCCTTACACACCACAAGGGCAGGTATACACCCACACCTGGCAAATAGCATACACTCAGAAAACTGCCTTTATGGGGCACCTAGGTGGCTTAGTCAGTTGGGCATCTCACTCTTGATCTTCACTTGGGTCTTGATCTCCAAGTTGTCAGTTTCAGGTAACACACTGGGCTCCACACTGAAAGGTTCTTAAGATATTTTACCAAGATAAGCTGCAATGATTTGGCCTTGGCAGCTACCCACTTTTTTCAAAATC